ATTTTATTCCGATAAAATAATGAAATAGGTACTTGGTACCTGTTTTATGATGATTTTGAAATTCTTTAATAAGATAATTGAGAAATAACTGGAGGTCTTCGTTTTTCGGGTCTTCGGTCTTCGTTTTGTAGACACCCATATAGGGTGTCTATAAAACGAAGACCCTTGAACATTTCACAAACAGACGCCCAAAAAATTTTGTAATTTGGATTTTGTGAGAGCCTGGCGTATTATCATCAAATTGAAAGAGAAAAAATAGGGGTCTTCGTTTTATAGACACCCCTTGGTGTAGTACGCGAACAGTGTCTTGGCGTTGCCATTACGGTTCAATAGTTCGTAGTAGACTGGCCGCGTAGTCAAAACGAAAAATGCCTATTATTGCGTATTGCACAATATGTTAGCATTGACCTATAGTGACTGGATCAAGAGATCATGTCACAGACGACCTCTCTCAGTGTGTTGTTATTCACTGTGTTGAATATTAAGTTAATTCATAGTTGAGTTAATTTCCCTTTATTTATGTGAACCTACAAACCTACAACAGATAATGTTAAAAGTACATGTGCAACAAATACTGTAGAGCCAAATCTAAACTAGGTATTCTAAAGAACTTGCAACCACTAAAGAGTGTTTTACGAACGTTTATACAGTACGTCAGACCATACTGTACATGGAGTAGTGCATTCCAGCATGGTGTTCTTACGTCGAGAAAGACAAGAAAGTGCTGGAAGTATCCAAAGAAGGACCACCAAGATGATTCCTGAGATCAAGCACCTTTCGTATGAAGAAAGACTTGAAGAACTAAACCTATTATTGCCTACAGCAGCGAAGAAATAGGGGTGACTTAATCGAGACCTTCAAAATCATTAAAGAAATTGAGAATGTCAAACAGGACACCTTTTTCCAAATGAGTACGAACAAGAAAAATACCAGAGGTCATCAAAACAATATACAAACCAGCGCTCAACAAAGGGCTAAATTACCATAAACACTTTTTCTCACAGAGAGTGTGAACAGCTTTAACAGTCTGCCCAAAGAAGTATCATGCTGACTCTACAAACCAATTTCAAAATAGAATTGATAAAAGTGGTAATGAAGCCGTGTTAGTCTAAACAATATACAAAGAAAATTAAAAGGCAGCACTCTGAGACTAACTTTATGTTATTTATTTAACACGAGCTTTCGCTGTCAATGCCAGCTTCAAAAAAAAAAAATTGAAAACAAAATAGAAAAGAGCTTATGCATACATAATTAGCAAATGTGATAATTTATAATAAATAGAGTAATGCATTTTTTCTAAAAAAGAATCTTTTTTAGTGAAATTTTGCAAGGAATGGGGCTTCAAATACAGTCTCACTAGGGGACCATATGGGATTGCAACTTGCAAGAATGTGGACTTTTTAAATATTATATTATATTATATTTTTGTAATGTATACAACTGATATTTCAAAATGATGTTAATATTAGCCTAGGCTATATATAATAAAATTACAATTTTTTTAAATAACGTATCTCACTCTTACTTAGGCCTATTTAGTATAAAACAATAACAAGGACATTTTTCTTTTATACAGAAATTATACAAAAAGTCAAGACATATTTTACATTTAGTTCTATTTAATTTTTATAAAAGAAATGTCTGAATCATGCATTTATGTTTTTTATGTCTTCAAACAGAAAAGTGAAATTAATCATAGTATCTAATAACATTAATTTTATGTCTAAACTGCTACAATAATCCAGAACAATACAAAAGTACTTGACAAACCTTCCTATTAATTTGCCTAATCAGCTGTACTTTATTTCAATTAGGTAATTAGCAAGAAAAGTTGAATGACATGTTCAATCAATAACTAAACCCTGGGGCTGATTTATGATTCTCGGTAATAACAATTACTTAACAATTGCTATTATTCTAATTCTTGTGTTCTGAATAAATCTTAATTAGAGTTCTGTTGTATTAGTAGTGCAGTAGGTATGCAAGTAATATATTATTAATACTAATAAATTTAAAACATAATATACTAGTAATTAATAATACTAATAAATTCAAAACAAAGAAAATTGAATACAACAACTTTTGGGTTTGTATGGATTACTGACCAATGTATTTGTATTTCATCAGGGTAGCGAGAAAACTACTTGGCCCCCAATAAAAAAAAAAACCTATAAAAAAACTATGGGTTGGCTTACAATTGAAAAAAAATTATGTTTTGGAGGGTTGCCACCCGCAAACGAGTTGAGAGCACTGACCAGATATAGGTGACAAAATAATGTCTAACGTCGGCTTGCGAGGCCTCAGATTCGGCTACCCAAATTGAAATTATAATTGGATGGTGGCGGGGTCGCAAGTCAAGGTAGCAAAAAGTCTCGTCTTGCACATACAAACTTGTATAAACTGTACTACTAGGCCTATAAATAATAAAAACGAAAATTTACTCACCCATGTGCAAAGTGAATCATTCCAATAGCCACAAGAAGTAATGACCTCAAGGGGACAGCTTTCAAAGCCATCTGTCAAAAACAAATCAAACAATCACTGATCCCCTCATAATAACTGACAGCTCTTTTCTCAAGTTGCCTCTTCATAGTGTAATTATAGTTAGAGCAGGGAGATGTAAAATCATCATCATCAAAATTCGAAGGTTGATATTCAAATTCTTCAGTATAATAAAACCTAGGCTAGCCCAGGGTATGCTAGGGCCTCCTCCTAAGCCAAAGCTAGGCCCTAGGCCTAGGCCTCTTTTTTTTTTTTTTTTTTTTTTTTTTTTTTTCTTTTCTTCTTTCTTCCCCCTCCCTCTTTTTTTTTTTTTTTTTAAGGGGCGAAATACGTAGGCCTATGTGGAATTCCTGCCATGACAATCGACAAGTTCGTCGGACGTCGCCATCTCCAACTGGCTAACATCCTATGAATGACATTTCTGCTTTGATATAACCATATCTAACTAGGCCTATATAGGGCCTAGCCTAATAGGCCTACCTTTATTTAGTAATCGATCACGATATTTCCACCGTGTACTTTACGAACATCTCACAAAAAAAACGAAAAGAGCAACACTGACACGATTGTGTATCGAAGTTTTCTCGGCCCACAACAAAACTTCATGAACGCATGAGTGCACACGATGACATGATTGGTGGCAGCACACAGGTACCTCGGTTT